ACCCTCTCTTATAATTTTCCATTTACAATTTTTTTCTTAATATCGACTTTTTTATTTTTCAGATAAATTCAGTGTAGGTGCATCTTAGATAAATAAATAATTTTGCATAACAAGTTATCTTAAAGACCATAGACATGGATTGACGAGAGAGGGGAAGAGCAATTTCTATGCCTCTGCCTTAACTCTCCCTGCCTTCCTAGATCCGACCAGTGTTTTGGTTTCATCCACATACGCTTGTGAATCTTTGTTCTCAGTGATGAATTTTGTTAAGTCTCGTAATAGGAGTAGCCTGACGGATGAAAGTAGTAGCTCGTGCATATTTCTGAAGGTCACGAAATATAAACCTGATGTAAAATCTCTGTCATCAGTGATGCAGCAGCAAAAGTCCCACTGATAATATCAAACGGAGTCATAAAGTTTTCTGTCGGACTATCAGTGTACATGTATACATTAAAAAATAAATGTATTTTTCATCATCATATACTGTGTTTTTGTCGCTCGAATGAATTTTATTATTTCTTTAAGGTTCTTCACATACGTACACCTTAAGAGATATCAAGTAGGCGTAACATATTCTCAAAAAATTAGGGTTGGCACGCAGAAGAATTTTGAGTCAGAGATTTTGCTGGTTTTGGCACACACTCACAAAAAGGTTGCCCACCCCTGATCTAGGACAATCTCCCTATTTTAGGGTGAGATGATTAGAAATTTTAATTCCATAAACAAAGTTTAATCATAGCAGTAGCTAGATTATCATTTGGCTTAAAACTAAGGGATGGGAACCTTGAGGAGATAGTTTTAGAATTTAGAATAGCACAATTACCACCTAGATTTTTAAATAATGATATATAAGTCCATAGAGCACTTGAGATGTATACAAAAATAATTTAACCCACTCAAACATTTGTTTTTCTAGATTAGATCTCCTTAGATTTGACATATTTTATAAGCATATTTTATACAGTTTTGGAGCTAATCCAACAGTCCTTGCTTCCCATTAGGTGATCTAGCAACTTGGAAATAAATCTGTGATGTACATGAGATGTCTTTCTTTTCAATGAATAATTTGCTCCAAGGATAGCATTTTTATTCTTTCCTCAATAAAGAAACTGTTTATAATTTACCTTTTCTCGTGTGTTCAGAAATCTAATTTCAGGGTAAATGCTTTGGTAATAATTTGGCATATTTTTTCTGGAGTGATTTTTATATTTAGAATCCAATTGTTGTTTTCCAAGTCCAATCAGTTTCTGAATCACATGGATATAATATTCTGGAGCTAGAAATCTCTATTTGACTCTCAGCTGCTTTTCTTCAGCCACCATATTGGATTTGTCACCAGTTTTGCTGATTCTCATCCTCAGTGACTCGAGTATCTACATATTTCTTTTCATCCCTTGCCCCTATGATACCCTGGTTTACATCTTCATAATTTTATATGCCATCTATTGCAATAACATCCTAATTGGCCTGTCAGCTTCTGGCTTTTCCCTTCTCCATATAATATTCCAGAGATTATATGATCCAAACTAAACTTAAAAAAAACTGCCAGAGTTCCTCCATTGCCTTCAGAATGGCATTCTAACTTTAGTATAACATTCAAAGATTTCCATTATATGACTGAATCCTATCTTTCAACCTCATTTTCAATTACAACCTTCCATAGAAGTACTGGGACAGTGGTTATTGAATACTATTTTCCCAATGATAGAGATGGTCCATGTTCTGGTAATAGGCCTGTGTAATTGGGGTAAAGAGTTTGTGTTACTATTGCAAGTGGGGCTTAAAAGATGTCTTTGATTATTCAAAGATCCTTATTTTTTACCTTCAACATTCAATTGGTTGTGAAATTAAGGCAAGCCCTTTTACCACCTACATTTTTAATTTTTCCTCTCTTCTCTGTTAGTCTTGCCATTGCCCTAGCATGGGTCTTGTCATATCTCTTCTGGATTATTGTCATGGACAATCTGTCTCTTTGTCCCATTCTCTCGTTACTCTAACCCCATCATCATATTACAAGTAAGTTGTCATTCTAAAACAGTCTTATCATGGCTCCTTTTTAAGTCAAAACCTTCATGTGTCCCCCACTGTTTCCACTGAAAATTATTTACCTACTAATTCAGTGGTTAAGTACGTGAGCCCTAAGCCAGACTGCTTGGGTTGGGATTCTAACTCTCCTATTTACCAGCTATGTGATGTGGGACATGTTATTTTATTGCTCTGTCTGAGTTTCTTCATCTGTAAAATGGGGATAATAATGTTTATATAGAGTTGTTATGTGGGTAAAAATATATTAAGTATAAAAATCAATCACCCAGTTCCTGGTACATAGTATATATTCAACTAATACTGACCATAATAACCACCATATAATACTGCAGAGATTGAGATGGACTCTATAAATAACTGCCAGTTTTTTACTTAATTCGGGATTTTTGAGAGATATATATTTAGCTAAGTAACTGAATTTCAATGTTCCTCATTTTTTCCCTGTGCAGGCAGCTGAGAATTATAACTGGTGAATGGTTTTTTGAAGAAAAGGCAAAACGTTTCAAGCAAGTCAATGTTCTAGGCACTGATGTTGTCCGGCAGTCCATCTTAAGAAGAAATCCAGGTAATTTAAGCAATTATTTGGTTTCAAAATTGTTTTAATCTTCATTTTTTCAGGCTAAATAACTTCCCTCTATTATGTAGCAAATGAGCACAGTTAAATTTTCTGAATCTCTTAGGTCCACTGTCGGCCAACTGTGGCCCCTTGAGTGTGGCTCTTCCTAAGCCTTAGGAGTACCCTAATTAAGTTAGTAACAATGTACCTACCTATATAGTTTAAGTTTAAAAATTTGGCTCTCAAAATAAATTTCAATCGTTGTACTGTTGATATTTGGCTCTGTTGACTAATGAGTTTGCCGACCACTGTCTTAGGTCATTTCAAAACATGAAATCTAAACTTGCAATTCATACAAGGGAAGAGGAAAGAAATAGAAAAAAATACACACTGATTTTCTATATATATGATACACAGATTCTTAAAGAAGATATTTATCTTCATCATAGACAGTTCTTTTACTGAATTCACTTACAATATTTTACTAAATATTTAAGGAAGCAACACAAACCACATGAATTAAATAACTCACATTGTCACATTGTAAAAACAATCCTTGACTTTTCTTTTTTTTAAAAATATATTTTATTGATTTTTTTTCCGAGATAAAAGGAGAGGGATAGAGAGGTAGAAACATCAATGAGAGAGAAACATCGATCAGCTGCCTCCTGCACACTCCCTACTGGGGATGTGTCCACAACCAAGGTACATGCCCTTGACTGGAATCGAACCTGGGACTTTTGAGCCCGCAGGTTGACGCTCTATCCACTGAGCCAAACCAGTTAGGGCAATCCTTGACTTTTCAACAAGATGTTTTTTAGATTTCTTTTATATGTTACTGTTTCTAATCCAGTGGTTCTCAACCAAGACATAATATTGTGCATTGTGCTCCCTCCCCCAATCGAGGGGAGCATTTAGAAATCCAAGGGTGGGGTTTAATGGCATTTAACAGTTGGATGTCAGAGATATTCCATAGTCTGAAAAGCACAGGGAAGTTTCACTCAATGAAGAATTATATTGTCACCAAATGTGAATAACAGCCCACCCTGAGAATGCTATTCTGTGCATTCAAACTATAATTTAATTGTTAAGTATTGGATAAAACTTGTGTTTAGGAGCATATTTCTCATGTGTGGTGTAGTAAAGGTATCTTCTGGCCTGTTCCTAGAAGACACTGGAGACTAATGCCTTTGTTTTAAAGTCTGGCAGGAAGGGCTGGACATATCATTGACAATTATTATAGACTTCTTTGTCTTGTGCTAATGTAGGAAAGTGGATGAAGAATAGAAAATTGTTCTCATTTCTAGCCATTTTGTATATGAATTTGTCTTCTGATTATTTTTAATGAGGAGCTAAAGAAATACAAAGCCAAGAGAAAAACCACCAGGATGCAGAAAAGTCAAACACTTCACCTTCTACAGGGCAGAAGGCCAGCCATGATGAGTCCAAGAAAAAGGGGTAAGACAGCCTTTCCAAGGGAATTTTTTACCTTTATTCTGGACACCTCTGAAATAAAGACTCCTCAGTATTTGAAGTCTTGATGTCACTTCAGTGACCCAGAGAATGTCAGAGACTCAACGAAGGTTACATTCTCCTGAGGAAATGCAGTTTTAATTACTTTCTGTCTTAGGTGAATAAAAGTTCTCTCTGATCTAAACATCTAAGAGTTTTTCTTGCATTTGATATATCCAGTCTTGTACCAAGTGGTTACCATCACTTCTAGGTAGGTTTCAAGTCAGGGCTAGTCCTGTATATTAAGAGGTGATGACTGATTTTGTTGTAGAATGTCAACACTCCTTCCCCCATCCTGAGTGCTGATATGTGAAATATCCAAATCAAATACTTATTAATTGGACAGAAAACCTTATATCCCCTGTTTAAAATGCAGGTTTTCTTAAGGGGAAAAATCACATTTGGAACCTCAGTTACAATTCACAAAGTCAATGTATGTGTCAGTTACTGAGAATAGTAATAGGATACATGTCCTATATAATAAATAGGTAATATGCAAATTGACTGTCACACCCTCAGAAAATGGCTGCCTATGACCAGATTGGCAGGGGAGTTAGTGAGAAACGACCAAACGACTGAACAGCAGGCTGCATGGGGTGACCAGGTCAGAAGGGGCGGGGGGCGCAGTTAGGAGCGATCAGGCCAGCAGGGAGGGTGCAGTGGGGGTGACATGGCTGGCAGAGGGGGGGAGTTAGGGACAATCAGGCCAGCATGCAGAGGCAGTGAGGGGTGACCAGGCAAGCAGGTGAGCAATTAGGAGCCAGCAGTCCAGGATTGTGAGAAGAATGTCCGATTGCCAGTTTAGGCATCCTCCGAGGGGTCCCGGATTGGAGAGGGTGCAGGTTGAGCTGAAGGGGTCCCCCCCCACCAGTGCACAAATTTCATGCACTGGGCCTCTAGTCAGGAAATAAGATTCAAGGAGGCCTGGAAAAGTGGGGACAAGAGTTTCACCAAGGGGGAAAAGTGGCCCATAAAATGCTGGCTACAAGGACCAAAAGTCAAACTACTGCTTCACAGCATTTTTCAGTCTGCATTTCTCAGGCAGCTGTTGATTAGTTTTGTGGCTGAGGTAGTGAGAGTTCTAATATGCACCAAATTACTTTATGGTAATTTCCAGGTAGTATTGCATCATTTTCTCATCAGAAATCAATGTGAGAGACTGCCAGTGTTTGAGACTTTTTCTGGTTCTACAGAAAGTTGGTTTTTTATTTTTATTTTTTAGAATTTTGAACTGCAAGTAGGAATGAAACCTAAATGTCCTCTAACTAAAACACTTATGACTAACCATGTCTTCATTAATTAGCAGAGATGAATGGAAAAGTTAGCCTAGAGTGACCATACATCCCATGTATTGATTCTTCCTATCATGTTGCATTCATCACTCCTCATAACTCCCTGTGCCTGTGCATCACTACTTACATTGCATTCTGACACACACACACACTGCCCTCCCCCCACCACGTACACACACATATACTTAATTGTAAGCTCCCTTGGTACTGGGCCTGTTGCTTTTTTGTTTTTGTGCTACAGCATGGTGCCTGGCTTGTCAAATCAATCAATGGCTTGATTGAATAAGTAACTCAGATCCCACAGGTGCTTGCTTCTAGGAGCTGTAGTTTGCAGACCCCAATTTAGGCACCACTGCATAGGTTTACAGCAAAATGTTGAGCTTGGAGCTTGGAGAAAATACTAGTAAGTAGCTGTCCAGCACAATGAATTATATACACCTGGAATTGTTAAAAAAAATAGTCATAGCACTGGACTGAGCCCCTCTGGAACTCACAATTGTGATCTGATGGTTCTCGGTCTTCAAGGAATGTAAACACCTAGTTGGGGAGAAAAGGTACATACCTGAAATTTTAATATGTATAGAAGAAATTTAGGAAACTATAAGATGATAATATGAGCTGCTTGAAAGCCTTTCTAAAACAAGGCAAGGTATTAACTACAAGAGATGTCATAAGTCAGTAGATAATTAAGTAAATGTTAAATAAATGGCATAGATAATCATTGTCAGGAGGACACAGGGGACATTAGGAAAGACATCAAATTGTAAGTGGGACTTGATAAGGACTTTGAAAGATAGTTGGGGTCCAAGATAGCAAAAAGGGGGAGAGTGATTAAGGTAGAGGAGACACCTTAAGTAGAAGTTCAGAGGTGAGGACATGTGCCAGGTGGGTCTCAGAGCAGCACAGGTTAAGATTATATTAAGTGTTATTCTCAACAAAAAATCTAATTTTCCAATTAAATTCAAGCTTTTGACAAGACAATCTTCTAGTGTTTTTGAAACAGAGATAACTTGGCAAATTCCATCAAGATTGTCCTAGTACCTTTGAATACATTTCCCCCTTAGAAAACTGTAGAATGTTGAGTAAATGAACTGGTCTCTCCCAGAGCCATCACAAAAATAATACAACTTTTTTTTATTAAAGCACATTTGAAAACCCTATGTTTGGGGCATTAGTAGCGTGGATCATGACTTGAACCTTAGTTTCTAAAAGCTATTTTTGTTCAAGTTCTAAATAATTTAGTGAAATGCAATCAGGTTTCATACTATATGAGACACTCCATTGTTCACACTTTAGTACAACAGGGAAAAATGTTATAGAAGAGATAAAGATAGTTCCAGCCACATGGGTTTAGTCATTCATTCTACAAAAATTGGTTGGGTTCTAGTATTTTCCAGGCATCAGTTTATGCTCAGGGGCATATTGGCAGGAAGTATCAAGGTGAAATTTGTGGCTGTCATGGAGCTGCAGTCTAATAAGCTGCCACCTCCGTTTGTCCCAGAGGATCATCTGAGCTCCCCTCAAAGTGAATTCAAGCTCTTTTTTTCTCAACACTCCTGAAAACAGGCTCAACCCAGGGAGTGGTGAGTTCCCAGTCAGTTGCATTTTTCTTAGTATGGACAGAGGCCTGACTTACCAGCAAGTGTTATGGCCTTGGGAGAATGTCATAATTTCTTCTACTACTACCATTGACACTGTACTGTAGAGGCATGGGAACTCCCCACAACCTCTCAGTCACAAGGCCACTTTATTGAAAAATCATTTACTGTTGAAAGTACTAAAAATGGTATTTTTGAAATTATATTTTAAAATGCTTTATTTCTTATCTTTTAAATACAGTGGGGCCTTGACTTACGAGTTTAATTTGTTCCGTGATGGAGCTCGTAACTCAAATTACTCATATGTCAAATCAAAAAGTAAACGAGTGAGACACGTGATGCTGGGCTGATGTTGTGGTGTTCACTGTGACGTTCGCTGCGCCAACTAGCGGTGGGGTATCTGAAGCTGGCTTGTAACCCGAATTTTAGCTCGCAACTCAAAGCAAAAAATTGGCCGAGAGATGGCTTGTATCTCGAAAAACTCGTAAGTTGGGACACTCGTAAGTCAAGGACCCACTGTATAGTTACTTATATACCTTCAGATTTCTTCTTAGCAAGTTCAGATCAGCAACCAGAGGAGAAATCATCATAACTCCAAACACTGAAAGTGGGTGGAGCTACAGCATGGACTTAGATAGCCGAAATTTTCGGCATTTGAAATCAGCCCCCAGTTCAGACAGGTAAGACAAATTGGACAATGGTATAGCCTGAGGATAAGATGTATTTCCATCCAAACACTACTTCTAGGTGCCTGTGAAATATCACCTCTTAGCAAACCCCTAAAATAACATGAAAGGCCAGGAGAATATTTTTAGTTGAAATGAAAACTTATACTTCTTCTGGAAGTACAGCTATTGAAATCATCTGTGTTTCCTGCAGGGATGAGATTTTATGTTTTGGGACTCAGGGCTGTAGTTCAAATGGAAAATAAATTCTTTTAATTGATTTCTTGATCTTTTTTCTGCTAAACCTTCTGAAAAAGAAAACTCTAAATGTCATATACATTCATTGTAGCTATTTAAAAATTACAAACGTCATTTGAACTGCCTTAGAGAATTCCCATAAATTCAACTTCTTTCTAGTACCACCTCCTCTAATTTGTTATCAGTGGAGCCAAGTGAGAAGCTCCTATATATAGAGCTATCACCTTGCCAAGCAAAGTAAAGGGAAATAAAAAGAATAGCCAAGAGCATATAAGCCTTACCAATGGACACAGACAACAGGGCGGTGAGGGCATGAGTGGGGGGATGGGGGGCAATGGGGAGATAAGGACACATATGTAATACCTTAATAAATAAAGAAAAAAATTTAAAAAGAGCATAGCCAATCATTTTACATCAGGCTTGATTTTGTTTATCTTGCTGGGGCACAAGTCAAGGCTTACTTTCACGATTAGTGTATTTTCGAAGGCAGTGATAAGAAAAAGATCTACCTTCATGTTTCTCTACTTCTTCCAAATGTTAACTTACTTTTGCTTGCTTAGAGCTGCAGTAATTCTGCAAAGCCAAGAAGTAGAACTCCCTGTTTTAGCTTGTTTGGCTCAGTGGATAGAACATTGGCCTGCAGACTCAAGGGTCCCAGGTTCAGTTCCAGACAAGGGCATATGCCCGGGTTGCAGGCTCAATCCCCAGTGCAGGAGGTAGCCGATCAATGATTCTTTCTCATAATTGATGTTTCTATCTTTTTCTCCCTCTCCCTTCCTCTCTGATATCAAAAATATATTTAAAAAAAAGAAGTAGAACTTCCTTAGGTTCTGCAATCAGAATTACATTTTCCCTGTTATTCATTTTAGAATGTAGAACAGCAAACCCTCTAGAGAGGACACTCTTTTGACTGTTAAGTCTATTTTTTTTTCACGGTGACTCTCCATACCTGTGTTGCTGTTTTTTCCCTAAGCATTTCTGCAAACTAGTGTTACTTTATGTAAAACTGCACAGAAAAACATATGGAAGGATAAAATAAATCATTTATCTACTATCAAAAAATCATCACTATAATCAGTATTTTCCAAATTTTCAAGAATATAGATCATTTCCTTTACAATAAAATTTAAACT